TTTTTGTTAAGGTCATGATTTTGGGGTCGGTCCCACGCGTTTTTGGCCTCGGGCTCAGGCGCTGGCCACGCGTTGGGCTGGGCGCCAGCACTTCTTCGAGCTCTGTCCCCGCGCGTGGCCGGGGTGGCCACGGTGGGAAGAGGGCGCGCGGCTTCAAGGCACGCGTTCCCCTCAAACCTGCTCCTGCTAAACTCAAGCTAAACTTAAAAAAGAGCCATTTACGTCAAAATAAGACTCTGTCTCACTCTCTCGCTCTGTCCTCTCTACCATTTTGAAAAAGGCTGGTTTGAAATTACGCTTTTTAAAGTTGTAACAGTACAATTTTCCTCACGCTGACTTTCCATTTAATAGCTAACAGGACAGAACTGTAATCAAGACCTTTATCCTGCGATAGGCTAAAAACAAAATGTTTCTGAAACACAGAAGGTGGCTGAGCATGTTCAAAGTGTCATATTAAGGTGGTGTCTAACGATCTCCATGTCCCACTTATAATTGAAACAGAAGAGAGTATTCACTTTTCATTCATTTTTAAAAGACTATTCAAATACCCTTTCATCTCCGCTAAACAGCCTGCCAGGTATTTGAAGCCATTTTATATTTTGTTTCTACAGACATCCAAAAACAGAGGTGAGTATTTTGGAGCATTGATAGAAAGATGCAAAGGCGCGGGAGGCACTGAATGGCTTCAAGCTGCCTCTGACACATTCATCTTCCCAAGAAGAATTAGGCACAGTGTGATTCATTTTAATAGCAGAAGAAAAATAATACTACTATGTAGTGCTAAGTTCCCAACCTTTGATGGTAGACTTAAAAAAAAAAAAAAGATAGCGAGGAAAAAAAAGATCTTTTTTCCCTTATGTTGTTGAAGTCCCCCTACACCCATCCGTTACGTCCAGCTTATCAATTAAGATGAACCCCATGAACTTCAGATGGTTTTTTTAAAACAAGACACCGTCCATTTAAATGTGTAAAACTGCCTGCAGCTTCCTTTTTTTTTTGAACTGAAGGATTCAGTTCTGGGCTCTGTGTACTCGGTGTGAAGTTGAGCCCTTTGATAGAAGTTTTACTGATGTTTTAAATGAAGTCTTCTCATACACACCAAATAACCCAGATAATTTAAAACCTCATAGAAAAAAAAAATAGAGTGGAGGAGAAAAAAAAGGAGTAGTCGGTGCCATTGGTCTAGCGAAAGAAAAGAGGCTGGCTTTGGTTGCCAACACGCGAGACCAAAAGCGTTTCCACAGTCGCTTTCCCAGAGTTACTTGCTGGAGACGGGGAAGGTCTGGGCGACAGCTGGGGGACACATCCATCCCTGGTATGGGCAACTTCCCGCAGGAACAAATTACGCTCCTTCGGCTATAAAATAGGTTTTGTACCGTAAGTACCAGAGAGAGGAAAGGCCCATGGAGGTCGCTTCCCGGGTCTGCTTGCATCAAACCTCTCCCAAACTCATGTCCCCCAAAGGCAGCCCAGCTTAGCCAAGGCTTTACAAAGTTGGTCTTTGCTTAAAGCAGGTTATGCAGGCTACTAAGGGAGATAACTTGCAGATGAGAGATAACTTGCAGTGGCAGTCTTGCCACTTGTCTCACTTGTAGGTGAGCGAGCTCAGCTACACCTCGACAAGGGTGTGATGGACCCCAGACGCCTCATGGCCAATGGTGGCAGTGCAGAACCACCATCACCTTCAGCAGAGCTCCAGCACGTGGCCCATCAGGTCACTCTGAAAAAAAATCACACCCTGGATTTAGTATCCCATTTTAAAGATGATAGAGCAAAAAAAAATGTCCAGAATGCTCCATTGGCCCTTTCTCACCATCAGGCAGGCTTTGTGGTGCAGTCTGGCTGATAAAGCTGTATTAAATTAGCATCTGAGAGTTACCCAAATGAGCTATAGTTGAGATACTACTGCACTGAAGTACACCTGCAACCTTGGGCTTACCTACTTCAACTGCCAACTCCTCACAGCAACAACAGTTCCTGCCTGGGTAGGGGAAGGAGAGAGGGAAAGGCAGAGCTCAGTTACTGCTTCCAGGGTGCGTGATCAGCTCACATGGGAAGAAACCTTTTAAGTCACCGGGGCGGGGGGGGAAAAAGGTCAGACAATGTTAATTTGAAAAATATAAAATTTTAATAAAGGCTACATCTCTTAATTACAATAATTATTGTACCAAGTAATTTTTTTTAAATGAAACTCTTTATAATGCATAATTTACAGTATAAGTAGAACAAAATGCCATGGCAAAAGTCATGAGTACAGGACTTGTAATAAAAGGCATAAAATATATTTATACATAAACCCCTTAAACAAACAAGGGAAAGCGTGAACCCTGAATATAGGGCGACGCATGGCCTAGTAACACCATGCAGGCACAGGTACTGTACTGATTAAATTTTAAAAACACTAGAGATAGTGTATTAATATATTCATACATTTTTTTTTTTCTACAATATATACAGACTTATACAAAAGTAGCAATGGCAAACAGACTGCACAGATGATTAACTTAATCAACACAAAACCCAACTGTAGAAATGCAAGGTCTTTCTTGGGAAAGGGTTGCTCTGCCCTAGCGCGCACACGCACGCACGGAGCTTTCCAAAGCGATGCCGAGAGCCTTCGCTGACACCTCCCATTGGCTCAAATGGGTGTTGTGAGGGTAAGGCAAAAAAATAAAACTAGGAACAAAAAAAAAAAAAAAAAAAAAAACACACACACACACACAAAGAAGCACACGCTCCATGACTATGCCCCATCATAGTTAAAGGTCGCTTAACTGTAAGCTGTGCTAACATTGAATGGCTAAAAAAATTAGCTAGGTATGTGGCATACATATGGGTTTTTAACTTGGCTTTTGCAATGTGTCCTTTTGGTGTGTTAAATATGGACAATGGGAACTAGATGGCTTCTTTTAGAGCTCTCCTAGGCTTGGGATTTGCTATAGTCTGCCTTGGCGGAGGTCGGCACTGGACACGACACGGCATCCTCAACTACGACAGCAGCAAAGCAAATACCTCGCGCCACAGAAAACCACAGGCAAAATTAACAGGTTGCTATTGTTATATTGCATCTAACATATTTAATGCTTAAGACCTGTATTTCAAATTAGAGCAGCATAGATTAAAATGCACCAGTCTCTAGGTGAACGGCAGGACAATATTTTTATGTCTATTTTTATAATTATTTCTTTAGAAAAGTTTTTCGTCACTTGGAGACACACTGGGCGCAACATCGTTCCTCTCCTCCTTGCACTTCAAAAAAAAAAAAACAAACATGAATGCACTCATAGCCACACTCCTCAGTTGCACTCATAGCCACACTCCTCAGTTTTAGCTAGTGGGAACAATATTAAAAAAAAAAAAAAATACTCCTTCCTCCCATCATCCCACTTCCCAGCCCCTCTCTCTTCTCCATTGTTAAAGCAGCATATCCAAAAACTGGACTTAAGGGAAAACAGAGTGTTCAATAAATATCAATAAGGATTACTGTTAAGGTAAGCTATACACAGTTTCTCTTAGTCCATAGATTTCAGATCCCCAGGAAATCATATATTATGTATGGAAGTCTCTCAAACACGGTCTGCATCTCCAATAGCCAACAGTGGTCATGTTTTTAATAAATAGTTCAGGGTTTTTATCATCTCAGTACCCAACTCATGAATAATAAATGCCTTTTTTTTTTCCCCCCTCCTCTAAGGCTAATTCAGCAAAGTCTTCATAGACTTCACTGGGTGGTTTTTGTTTTTTTTTTCTTCATTGGTTCAAAACTTTCCTTCAGAGTTGTTTTTTTTTTATTATTATTATCACTACTGCTGTGTGTCCACAGACTTTTTTCTAGCTTAAATTTTCTTAAATAACACCGACGCCATCAATCGATCCGTTCTACTTTCCCGAGAATCCTTCCTTCGTACATGGGCAGGACCGTTTCGTCTTCCCAAACTTCTTCAAACACTGCGCCACAGTCAAACTCGTCACTTGCTTTTTTGAAGTAGTATCTGTGGGAAGGAGAATTAAAACCCGGGTTAAACTCGAAAGGCAAAGGAGCGGGCGGGCTGGCAGTCGTGCTGCCCACGACGTTTCCAAGGTCTCGGTGTGAAGAAGGCACCTCCTCTGCCTCCCGGTGCGGCCCGGTCCCGCGGGCACGGACAGCCTCAGCAGCAGGGAAAATTAGAAAGCACGGTGCTTTCCGGTCAAATACCTCACTTGACAAATAAATAAATGCTATTTCAAGGCAAAGCATGGCTTAAGGTTCCCCTCCTCCCCCCAAAACCTTGGTTCTTTCATGTGTTTGCTTCCCCCC